CTCTATTTAAAACATTCTTCTTCGTTCCTTTACACTCTGTATATCTCGACCTTTTTGTTACCGCTTACGCCAGTAAATATGCTAGTATCTACTTTTCTAACACCTTCAAACATTCTGTTCAATTTTGGCTTTGCTACCGACATGCCAATATGTTGTTGTCAAAACTAACTGAGATTACCCTTAATCTATGTAGAATTTTATTTATTGTTAATGTACTAACTGGATGCAATACTGTAGTAAAATGCTGAGAATTCCATTCTGTTGATATAAGTATAAAACTTGGGCACTGTGGTAGAGTATAAATCCATAATGGATAAGATTTTATTTTGATAAATCACACAGTTTTGTACAGTTATATTAACTGATGACGTTTCGAGCACAAACTATTGCTCATAATCATATCAAGTTGATATGATATGATTATGAGCAATATTGTCTCAAAGTCATCAGTTAATAATCCATTCTGTATCACAAGTACTGTTTTTGGAATAAAGCAAATATTATTATTATTATTATTACGAGTTCACTAGCCTTGTAACCAGAAGGTCCTGGGTTCGAACCCCGGTGGGTGAGTGCTGATGAGGAGTCTCAAACTAGGACGCTTTGAAGAGCTGTCCAGTGGTTCTCTAACTGATGTCAGCTCATGATGAAATCCTGTAACCAATTAATCAAATCCCTACATGAACCAATACTTGAATAAAAAATTTCTGTATTGCATTAAAAATGCTGCTGTAGAGCCAGAGATGAGGATCTAATTGAAAAGTAAATATTTCTTCACTCAATCCACTCACCAACTAAATGTCTAAATGGAGAAGTTTTATATTGAAGTAAATGCAAAACTCTGTCGGCAACAAGCTGGATTCAGGACAGAGCTAATCATGTGGCAATCACATCGCAAATCTACACATCATAATCGAACAGAGAATAGAATGGCAGCCAAATCTCTACCCCCCCCCCCACTTCATCAACATTGAAAATGCCATCGAAATAATCTGGAAACTGTCTCACACAATAAGGAGTGTACCAAACACTCATCAACTTCATTTAATATATGTGTGCCCTATAGAAATTTTGATTTGAGAGATTTAATTGCCGAGGAATTTATGTTTTTCAATTGATCGATTACATTGGTGATATTGCGTAACTTTTTGACAATTGTGTGGATCTCTCCCTTTAAGCATACATTTTTTAGTCTTTCTATTCTTGTTGAACTTTGCCCTCTGGCACTAAATCTCGTAGACGTAGATATTTAGGGATGATTTCATTTTTCAGGCATTGAATGTTGAAAATACGATGAATTTTGAATCTTGCTTCAGTTTAAATACTTATATTTTTCTACGACGACATCAGAAGTCAAAAAGTCGTATGGGTTTATTAATTACTCTTCGAATAGGGAGACCATTGATCAAATTAAGATAAGTGTCAGACTTGGGCACTACTGTGGTATCAGATATATAATAATTCATAGGATGGATAAAACTTGAAAAAGGTGTGCAATTATACGATTAGTAGACAAATCGAATAAAATAAAAACGTTACGTAACATTGTGTGAAATTTGATAGCATAGAATTTAATGTTGTAAAAAAGAATTGATTTAGAATGACAAGTGGAACAAGTGAAATAATACCGGGGACAGTTCAAAGTGAGAACAGTAATAGTAACAATTGACGTAATGAAGGAAGAGTATACAAACTGAATAGACAAAACGAAAAAATTGGTAGAGCCAAAATATGATTGGGGATTACCATACTTTAGCATAGAGGGATTAAGACCATGAAAGTTGGAGGGGTTGAACGAACTTTTCTGTACACAGAGATCTGGCTTTTCTGTTTCGATAGCCAAAGATGGCTTCAGCAATACAGATGAGTCCGGTACGTAGGGATTTGGTAAAATTACCCTTTGCCTTGTAGATGACTTTAAAGGCCGAGGCTATAGAGATAGGGTGATCATTATCGACCAGATGTTCAATGATCGCGCTTCTTATTGCTCCACTTCCACCTCTTCGTAACCATGCAGGATAGTGTTCTTACAACCTCTTGGACAAAACTGGAGTCGAACGACCGATACACATCCTAGCTCCACACAAGCAGGTGAATTGATAAACACACACATAGAGTTGGTCAACAGCGGGATCTTGTCCTTCAGGTTATTGAACAGTAATGGTCGACTAGTAAAGGCTATTCTCAGAGATGCAGCAGGGAATGTTCTTTTCAGGAACTGTGATATCCTTCGTTTCATGATATCGGAAGCTAAGTACCGTTTGAATTCCAAGCTCATGTACAGTATTTTCTTTTTGTCTATTCAATTTGTATGCTCTTTCTCTATTACGTCAATTGTTACTACTATTACTATTCTCAATTTGAACTATCCCCTGTATTATTTCACTTGTTCCACTTGTCATTCTAAATCAATTCTGTTTTGCAACATCGAATTCTATGTTATCGAATTTAACACAATGATGCGTAACGTTTTTATTTTATTCGATTTGCCTACCAATCCTGTAATTGCACACCTCTTCCAAGTTCTATACATTCTATGAGTTGTTCTATATTTGACAACAACTTTTTTGCCACTTGACATTTAACTATGATTATAAGATATATCACACACACAGTAATAAAACAGAATTATTTACTGTCGAACACAATTTATTGTGGTTCATAATCATATCACAATTAATAAACCCAGTTCTCTAAACTGACTCAATTCTACACCGGTACTGCTGCTCATAAGTTTGACACTGAACAAATTGTACAACTATCAAATAACTAACTCCACTTCCACAAAATCTCTAGCTACTCATTTTCAGTTAGTAGTATGTGTCATACAATCGAAATCATTCTCATTCAAGGACAACAACGAATGAAGAACATAAATCTCTTTGCCATCAATGACTTTGCTTCAGAAAAAAATCTTAAGACACATGCATGAATCAAACATTTTAGTGATACATTTGTTTGCTGTCGACTAGCAGTATAATTCACGAAGCAGGTTTCGTCTTATTTGGGACCTCATCATCCGAGTGCACTTGTACCACCCAGTGAGTGTTGGTCTTACCAGTAAACATCGTTCCAAACGACAGAGTTAGCTACAAGGTCACGGATTCGCGTGTCTCAGTAAGAACATCATCATTAACGCGGATTTAGATACACCCATCCAGCTAACGAGTACCAAAATCGACAAAAAACGCACATCATCATTGTTATTTTGACCTTCAATATGTCCTTTTAACTTGACCTAAGTCCATTTATTTTCTCACCTCTTAACTCTTCATCAATTTCATGTATATAAATTCCTATGACAAGTCCGTATGTGAACAGATTGTTCGAAATGTGTTGCGCAAATACTACGTTACACGATTCAAATAAATTACGTCTTCTTATTTGGGTGCGTCGGTGGCGCAGAGGTAGAATGCTAGCCAACCATGCCTCATGTGGTTCGGGGTTCGATCCTCGGCCACAGACGCACTCCTTTACCTCGCTAAGCCTAGTAATAAGACTGCTAAAGAGGGAAGGTTGAGCATGAGACTAGCCACCCCATCCCGTAAAAAGTAAACACCACCGCTACCGAAACTTCAAGCCTCTCGCCTGAAGCCCTCCCTATGTTCCACTGGGAACGTAAAGGAATAGAAAAAACGTCTTCTTATTGCTTTGTCTAATTAAATTCATAAAGGGAACTAACTGTTTTAAATTGTGATCTTACTATGTGTTCTTTTCATCCGATCTCTCTGTTTATTACACTTTGTAATTTTTTTAACTTGACCCTTGACCGGAAATAGTTCTGGAACCCTCTCACACATTCACTGTATATACACGAATCAATATCAAATTGGGGGGGGAGCATAAACATGAGTAATATAATTCAACATTTCATATTGTGTTTATTTGCCTAGAATAAATTTCTTACCATGCGTGAGTTAAACTCATATAGTTTTAGATATCAGACATATGAAGTGTGGTGTTTAGTTTACATGTATCTGCCAAAATTAGATACACTGAAGAGAAGAATAGAAAGATGGACCCACATAAGAAGCGACTATTTTCTAATCCTATGCAGTTTTGTTTCCATGCTTCCCTCACCACCACCACCCCCACCCTTGTAATTTATACTCACACCCTCAAAACTTTCATATCAAGGTGGAAATTATTATCCCTTCCACCTACTTTGGAGGATGAAATCACCGTAAACATACGTCTATTTGCTGAGTGTTTCTTGTTCCTTTCTCTCTAGGAATATTCTGATGGATATTATCGTACAATAGAACTATTGAATTCCCTTATTATTTAGGCTTTATGCAGATGACGAGGGACACACCGACGAAATAAATAATGAATTTCTCGTTTTATCCACACACACACACCCGATATGTTTCTCCTATTGCTGTGTTCAAATTCATTAAATTTGCGTGGAAGGAGGAGGAATTCGTGTATGAAACCCCTACTATATCACAATGAGCGGGGATATAAGCTATTATAAAACAAACTTGCCCCGATTCCGTCTAAATATACTTGGATAGGTAGAACGGTTGCTTACTTACTTACTACTACGCCATCTCTGGCGTACACGTGATATCCAGCTGGCTATCGACCAAACGACGTGCGTCCTGCTCAGCAGTTCACTCTGTCCTCCTCTATGGTTGTGAGTGAAAGACATACCCATCAAAGGTAGAAGACATGAGAGGGTTGGCTAGCTGCTTTCGACCACAGGTGTCTGCGTTCTGTCTCACATGTTAGGTGGTATAATAGGCTGAGTAATATTGAGATCGGGCGTCAAGTGTTAGGCAAGGAGGCAAAATCAATCAACCATGAGGTTGTGAAGTCACATCGAATGAGATTTTATGGCATCTGCGCGAAAACACCTTACGACAGATTTTATCCCTCATTCATATCCCATCGTGTAGATATATTCAAAAAATCAACAAAACGGGGAAAAGTAGAACAGGCTAACTATACAACTAACTAACTAGCTAACTAAAGCAACTAACAATAAGTCAACTCACTTTTTCATGTGGATTGAGACGTTGTTCTTCGAAACAGAAACACTAGTTATAATAATAAGAATAACAAATACAGAGAAAAATACACCAGTTAAATTATTTATTATATTATAAAATAACAATGACTATAAACTAGTACTAGAGTATATATAGTTTTTTCTTTAGTTTTTTTATTCATTTACGTTCCCAGTGGAACATGGGGGGCTCAAGCTAGAGGCTTGACGTTTCAGTAGCAGTGGTGTTTACCTTTTACGGGGTGGGGTCGCTAGCCTAAGCCTAGCAGTTCGCTCTGTCCTCCTTTATGGCTGTGAGTGAGACATGACCATTGAAAGTGGAAGACATGAAAAGGTCGGCTATCTGTCTTTGAAACACAAAATAATTGAGCAAAAGAATATCCTTTTCGATAATTTCCTCCTCTTCTGGCTCTACAATTATATATACAACTTTATATACGTAGAATATTCTAGAATAGTAGTCAATAACAATATTAGTGCTTTTTAAATACTATCGATTTGTTAAATAAGATCAATGAACTGTAATTCCATACTAGACAGATGTTTCGTCCTAGTGTGAGACTCTTCACAGTACGCACACACCTCACTACCAGGGTTCGAATCCAGGACTTTCTGGTTATAAGGCGAGCTCTTTCGAATTCTCAGGAGCGGGTGAGGTTTATTAGCCTTATACCCAACCTTTTGTCTTTTTCAGATTTAGTAAAGAGCTGGCAAAGCAGATGCGAGTTGAGAGGAGAGTCAGTCAGTCTGGAATCAAACCGGACCATGTGAGGGGTTGATTAATAGTTCTACCTACCACGGAACTACGAGAACTGAAATGTAAAAACTAGAACGAACAAATAGACAAACAAATAAAAATATATATTCTTACTTGTATTTTATTAAAATATTTTGATGCTTCAAATGGAACAATAGAATAAGTAGCAATTCCTACAATCGGTTTATCTGTTGGATTTTCAGCGGAATAAAATGCCAAGGCTGTTTCACCAGGGACAACAGTCAACTAGAAGAATATTAATTGAGAAAAACAAAAACAAACACAATAACTGATTATCATAATTACTATATCCAATAATAAAGAGAATGTGAAGTTATTTCGACTGATAATGACTAGCAGAGGGAACCAGGAGACAGCGCGCATTTCGTCCGTATTCAGGACTCGTCATCTGTAATCCTTAGTGAGCGATGAGTGTGTTCTCACTCAGACGAGTGTATAACGCTATGGTCTGTGTTTGGAATAAGGAATGTTGAGTTGTTGAGTCTCAGTGGGAAAATTATCACTCACTGAAGACTGGCCAGTACATTCACAGTTGACGAGTCCTAAATAGGAATGACTGACTGGTTTCAACGTAGAACTTTGCACAGATGTGCAGTGGTTCCAGTTGCCACTCTTCCTCCATGTACCACACAAGCAACAGAAGACATTAAAGAAAAATTCAAAAGGGAGACAGATAATAAACAGAAGTGTGAGGGGGGAAAAAGAATAGCAGTATGGAAGAACAATAGAATTTTTTTGGATATGATAAAATACAAAGAGTGGATGCATCTGAGCGAGCCATTGACAACGAGGATTTTCAGCCATATTATCAATTGTCTCCAGTCATCATTGGTTTGATGCTTATCATCCCGAGGACCCCAACTAGTCAGTCAGGAAGTCTACACCTCCCTACGTGACTGGCTAGCCGGCTTAAACTGACTGTTATGGATTTCAATGACTGATGAAGCCATGTTTTCGTCTGACTGCCACTGGCTTTTCTTACATCTTGATCAATCCTATGTCAGTCAGCTAACATCGCCTATAGGGTAAGAAGTTGACTAGGATAAGTATGCGTAACACATGTTCTAACCATCTCAGTCGATGTAACTTCACAACCTCATCGTCGATTGATTTCCTCTCCAACCAACCTAGCACTCATCCTATGTCTAACCTCGATATTGATCACCTTATTATACCACTTAACACGGGAGACAGAAGACAGGCACCCTATCATGTCTTCCACTTTTATTGGCTATGCCTCACTCGCAGCCATAAATGAGGACAGAGTGGACTGCTGAGCAGTACACACGCCCTTTGATCGATAACCAGCCGGATATCATGTCTATGCCAGAGATGGAGTTTGTTGGCATATGCGAAACCAGCCTTCTGTATCCGTGCTGAGGTTTCGTCAGTGGTCAACCCGTTGGCTGATACAACTTCCCAAATAAGTGGAGAGGTCAACACGCCCCACCAACCATTTCACCCCATTTCAAGCTAGGAATCAATGTAGTCCAGTCCTGTAGCATCATCTTACATTTGCCAAAGGGAGAGAATCGCTAGCTAAACATTCGAAGACGGCTACTCAAAGACGAAATGTATATCCTGGATTCCATTGCTTGTCACTGCCAACTCCAATAACTTCAAATTAGTCCTCAGACATCATCGAAGCTTCGTCTACTAGAAGTTGACATATCAACACACATACAGAGATCGAGCATTTCGATCCAATGCATAATCAACCAATCAATCAGCGGAAAGTGTAAATTAACCTTAAAAATAAATAAATCAATTTGAAAGATTTTCCATAGATTTTTTGTGTCACTTTCCTACTCTAGCCCAACCGTTGACTCCTAGCTTGAAGATAGGGAGTGAAGTGGTTGGTGGGGCGTGTTGACCACTTCACTTATTTTGGAAGTTGCATCCGTCAATGCCAATGGGTTGATCGCTGACGAAATCTCTGCACGGATACAGAGGGCTAGTTTCGCATATGCCAGTTTACGCCGTCTCTGGCGTAGACGTGATATCCAGCTGACTATCGACCAAAGGGCGAGTGTACTGCTCATCGGTCCGCTCCGTCCTCCTTTATGCCTACGAGTGAGACCTGGCCATTGAGAGTGCAAGACATGAAAAGGCCGGCTAGTTGTCTTTGGTCATAGGTGTCTGCGTTCTATCTCCCATGTGAAGTGGTATAATAGAGTGAACAATATTGAGGTTAGGCATAGGTCGAGTGCTAGGTAGTTGGGAGGGGAAATCAATCGATGAAGTTATGAAGTTAAATCGATTGAGATGACTGGGACATGTGTTACGCATGCCTGCCTAGTCATCGCTTTCCTTGATGGACAATGTTAGCTGACATAGGGTCAGGCTGGAAAAAGCTAGTGGTGGTCAAACCAAAACATGGAACCAGTCGATAAAATCCACAACAGTTAGTTTAAGCCAGTCACGTAGGAAGGTATAGACTTCCTGGTTGGGGTCCTCGGGAGGGTAAGAACCAATGAAGGCTGGAGACAATTAGTGAAATGGCTCAAAATCGTTATCAATGGCTGGTGCAGATGCATCCACTCTTTGTGACTTATAATTTCCAATGAAACTATATTGTTCTTCGTTATTACTATTCCTTTGTCTCATATCCCCGTCTACTGTCGGTATTATGCATTTCTTCTACTTTCTTCTCTTGCTTTGTGTGCTACATGGAGTGTTGTGACTCGAACTGCAGCACATCGTTGCAAAGTTCTATGTCGAAAACTGACAGACATAATGAACAGAAATGTAAGGGGTGGATGGGAGAATTATTATTATTATTTAAACACAAGAAAAACTTGCTATAATATGGCACCAAGAAGATGCGCCACAAAATAATAACGGTAAAACAACTTATGTGGTTAATAGTAAAAAAAAAAGTGGAGAACGGATACAGAACTTCATCTGGAAGGAAAAGTCATATTTAACGAGTTCAAACAGAATTCGTCAATTATCGTAGGAAAGGGATGAAAGAAGCAAAATTGCAGCGCGTTCGCCATTGATGATGGCAATTCTTGGCTATACCCGATAACGTTTTGAGCCACCGATTCGAGAGCTATCTCTCAGAATCCAACCAAAGAGTCGCAACGCATTAACCGATGCTAACCTAAACAAATATTCTTCGTCCCACGACGCCACGTCATGGGCTGACCACCTTTTAACCTTTCCCATCCCATCCCACAGCTAGCTAACAGAGACCTGTAGGGAAGCTTCTGGGATGAAATTCGCGGCACACGTCCAAGACACCGAGGCTGGTGTTTCCAGATGACAACATTCAACGAGTAGTGATCTCCACTGTGTCCAAACACACGCCATCGGGTTTCAGAGTTGCTCACACGATGGTTCTCTCGAACGCAAGCAATCTTGTGGAGACAGCAACGATCGAATACGCAGAGTCGCCGCACATTCTCAGCCCGGAAAGTTCAGGTTTCACAGACGTACAGCAAGACAGCACGCGCCGAAGCATTGTAAACCCTACCTTTGACGGCTAGGCTGACGTCGCGGCGGCGCCGGAGGTGGCTCAAGTTGATGTATGCCACCCTAGTCTTCATGATACGGTTGGAAATCTCATCCATCACCTCTCCGCCAGCATTCACACGACCAACCGGATACACAAACTTATCGACAACTTCAGGCAGTTCACCTCCAAGAGTGAGTACAGGCACAGGCTCCTGTTAATCTTGTAACAGTACTTTGCACTTAGACGGTGCAAAGCACATACCATACTTACAGACACTGATCGCTAACTGATTAAGCGCGATTTGGGCAGCCTGCATGCTATCGCACAGTAAGACGATATTGTCTGCATACTCGAGGTCAAAAAGTCTCTCTCCAGGGTGCAGATCCACACCACTTTTACTCACTTCCTTCAGAGCTGACTTCAGAACGTCATCGATAGCAAAGTTAGAGAGAAATGGAGAGATTGGGCAACCCTATCTAACCCCAGTGTTGGTTGGGAACAGTGATGATAGTTGGTTGTATGCCCTCATTCTACCTCAGGTGTTTCTGTATAGAGCTTTCAGGATATTCACAAACTTCTCAGGTACACCTCCCTGTAACAAACAGTTGCAGAGCACAGTTCTATCCAACGAATCGAAAGCAGCTCTAATATCAAGAAAAACAACGATTGTTGGCCTGAAATACGTATGGTAGTGTTCCAACAACTGACGAAGGGTGAACACGTGTTCAATGCATCCACAGCCTGAACGAAACCCTACCTGAGAAGCAAGACAGTGGACAATATTCCAGAAGCAACTGGTAGCAGACTATTATTATAATTGTCTCCTTTAATTCCTAGAGGAACATAGGACTTCAGCCGCGCGTCTCCATTGCGTTCGGTTCTCTGCTAGAGTTTTCAGACTGACACCCCCTATGGTTGTCACATGTATTACGTCGACCGTTTTTAAAGATAGAGACGATAATGGCTTCATTCAACATTGATAGTACATCCTCAGTCTCCCATACCTTCCTGAATGGAAGAATTATCTGTAGAATACTGAGAACTTATGGATTCGGGAGACTACAAAGAGTGAATGCATATGTTCCACGCTAAGAAGGAGATTTTTAGACATATCATCAACAGTAACCAGACATTAGCTCTTTGGGTCCCAAGGATCCTAGTCAGGCAGTCTACACCTCTAAAGGTAGGTTAAACCAACAGTCAAAGACTCCACGGGCTAATTCCAGGTTTTAGCATGACTACCTCCTAACTCCTGTGTCAGTTAACATTGTACATTAAGAAAGGCTATTCCATACCATAAATAACACACCCAACCACCTCAACGGATGCAGGAGCTTCACAATCTCATCCACTGACTTTCTTCACTTACCTAACACACTCTATGCCAATCTCAATATTGCTTGTCAGATTACAAAACAACACGGGAGATCAAATCGAATTCGCAGTGTGCAATTTACACAATTTGTGGTGAAATTTCCCCTATGGTTTCCTTTAGAAACCGAAATTATTCAGATTACAATATGCGATCTCCTTGATACCACAAATGCTAATCGAGACTGTCTGTCTGTTTTCGACAAAGAACTTTGCAGCAGTTCAAGTCGCCACACTTCACTCAGCACACAAAGCAAGAGAAGAAAGTAGAAGAAATGCATAATACAGACAGTAGACAGGGATATGAGACAAAAGAAATAATAACGAAGAACAAAACAGTTTCATTGGAAATCATAAGTCACAAGGAGTGGATGCATCTGCACCAGCCATTGAGAACGATTTTGAGCCATGTCACCAACTGTTTCTAGCCTTCATTGGTTTTTACCGTCCCGAGGACCCTAACCAAGATAGTCTACATCTTCCTACGTGGCTTAAACTAACTGTTGTGGATTTCATTGACTGATGAAGCCATGTTTTGGTTTGACCACCTCTAGCTCTTTTCCAGTCTGACCCTATGTCAGCTAACATTGCCCGTCGAGGAAGGCGATGACTAGGCATACGCAACACATGTACTAACCATCTCAGACGATGTAGTTTCACAGCCTCGTCTATTGATTTCCCCTCCCACCTACCTAGCACTCGACCGACACCTAACCTCAATATTGATCACCGTATTATGCCACTTCATACGGGAGATAGAAGGCAGACACCTATGATAAGAGACAGCTAGCCGGCCTTTTCATGTCTTCCACTCTCAATGGCCAGGTCTCACTCGCAGGCATAAAGGAGGACGGAGCGAACTGATAAGCAGTACACTCGCCCTTTGGTCGATATCCAGATATAACGTCTGGGCCAGCGATGGCGTAAACTGGCATATGCGAAACTAGCCCTTTGTATCCGTACTGAGATTTCGAGGTAATCAAGAAAGCAAGCATAAATATCCATACCAGTTTGTCAAGTAGCTAACCAGAAATCAGCTGTCTGACATCAGTCCAACTGGGTATACAGCTGATTAGCTCGGCTCCAGACAAGTAAAATGGCTATATGGGGTACTTAGATGACTTCGATCTGATTGGCTGGTGTGCATGCACTACTGGTTGGTGTGAATGGTGCACAACTACTCACCCCACCCCCAATCAATTAGTAGTATATATTTTGCGGTAAACAGAACACAAACACCGCGAACGTCTTCATATCTTCTTTTTTTAACGGCTATGAAGACAGAACTGCTGCTGCTCCATACATACGTTGTTTGATCGATAGCTGGATATCACGTCTACGCCACAAATGATGTGAGTTGGCAAATCCCATATGAAGCTTTGTATGCGTGCTGAAATGTCGTCGGCAATCAAAGCATTAGGGCTAATCAACATACTCTACCACTTAAAGCCCGATCTTTAAGCTAACAGTCAGTGTAGACAAGTCCCAAAGCATCATCTCACATTTAACAGGGTGATTCAAGAATATCCCTCCTAGATGTTCAGCTCACAAGATGTGACAATGGAAAATAGAAAAATAATTCAGCCACAGAAATTCAACAAAAGAACAGACAACTCACTAACTTCCGCAGTTGGGTGCCACTTTACATACAAAACGGGACCTGATATGGTCAATGAATCATAGATTCTGCAGCAATTGTCGTCCTGACAACGTGGAAGTGGAGGTGAGTACTCCAAAAAACTCTCCTTGAAAATGGCTTACCCTGGACGCGTCATTACAAAATACATAAAGACTACACCAAAGCTACACACACACACTTTCCATCCACAAGAAACTTCTTTATCTTAATGTGCGATTCAGTGGAGACACATCAGCAGAAATACTAAGAAAGTGTTTGTCCAATTCATTGGGGAAAACATTCTCCACAACTGAACTTCGACTCTCTTTCTCTACAAAACCAAAGATAAGCTACCTCTAATGGCTTCATCAATGTACAACTGCCTATCAATTCACCTGCTCCTTTAAATTTAGGTATGGTAGGCCATACTCAGAATTTACTATCCGGACGTTCTTGAGAGGAGAAATAAGACCTCTCTGCAGCTCTATTCTGGAACACCTAGCGAGCTCGCAAATCAACTTCAGAGTTATTTACAGAGTACGCGAGAATCTAACCAAAGCCTTACGACGTAAACTCAAGTCACAGAAGCTATGGCAATCCATGCGTTAAATCCTAAGCTCTGCATAGAGAAGAAATTCGTTCAGACTGCCCAAACTTCGTCAAATAGAGCATAGAGTAAGAACACTGTAACAAAGTCGAGCCCAGAAGTCCAGCGTCAAAACTAACAAGCTGCAGCTCCACAGATACTCGTGATGGCATAATGTCGATGACAGTAAAAGCTTTAGTCATGATGATAAGAAACTGTGTGAGTCTGCTAAAGTCTGTCCCATTCAATCGTTAAAACTAAATCTTTGTATATAAAGTACACAGGATAATTAGTCCTGAGTATTTTCTTTTCTTCGAAGTACTGACTGCTTTTGGTGTTCTCGGTCATTCATTTTATAATTAAACACATACACAGTTAAATATTATTCTCCTTGATTACCTGAGTATTTGTGTGTGCGTGCGTTTGAAATCATTTTTCCGGTTTAATTGAGTAATTTTAAAAGTCTCTTATTATGATAAGCCTATTTGATTTAAAGACGATAAAGTATCCTTTCCTTATGTTGTGTTTTTTTTCCATTTCTTTCAGGGCTTCAAGTTTTGCAGTCTCAGTAGCGGTGGCATCGTCTTTTTTACGTAATGGGGTTGTTAGTTTTACAACTAACCTTTACTCTTTTCCCTCGATCGATAGCTGCTATCTTGACGTGGTGGTCAGGCCTCGCTACCGCAACCACCCAACAGGCTAGACTTGATCGAATTAATGTTCCATTCCAGAAAGGTCGTTTGGATAGAGTTACCATTATGGTGTTGATCGCATATACTATGTTGAGGTCTGTGGGCGAAATCGTACTGCTGATGAACAGAAATGTAACAGCAGTAAGATGCTTCCTTCAAATGACCAACATGCCGGTTATCCTGTCTCTCCACTCTGAAGAGGGAGGGGGGTTGGAGAAGGTCGACCGCACAGATTGTACATCCTGACGGTCCGTAGCCGGCGGTAAGATCTCAAGACAAATACAACTCCAAAAACCAACTCAAATGGATCGTGTGTGACTGGTCTCAAGCAATTGTCCCCTGGGTCCTACCCGTCACGTAACACCGATGTTAAGAAGAAATCAATTTCCACTGTACGGGAAGTGATAACCAACCAAACACTACGATAAGCACACAAAGCTTTCCCTTCCTTCTTCTCCAGGCTTACCACCAGCCAGAAATTGAACTCGGGCCCTCCGCACGGCTGGCAAGCATTCTACCACTGAACTAACGATACACAAATGAAAGTGTATTGAAAACCAGGCAGTACTACTAGACAGCTGTTTCGTTCTAGCTTAATTCGCGTCAGCGGCAGACACCAATAACCCACTGAAGGTGGGAACCCACATAATAACTCACATCATAAGGCAAGCATTGGAACACAATGCCATTGAATTAGAATTCGTGTATGACTGGGTATTAACTGAAGTTAGAATTGGATTGGAAAATGGTCACCAGTGGCTACACGAATACATGACATATATTGAAGAAGTCCTTGACTGTTGGTTTGAGCTGTGAAAGGGAGATTTAGACTGGCATCGTTTGGATTCTCGGTACGCTTGAGGATTTTTAGTTAAATGGCTCAAAAGCTGATGAAATGGTGTAGATATACTCACTCCTTGTGCCCTTTTATGCGTTGATGGTTCAATGGTAGAATATTCACCAAACACCCACGTGATCCAGGACTCGGTTCCCAGCCAATACACTCTTGCAGTTTGCTTAGTTTACCAGCCGATAGCAACCCTGAAGAGGAGAGGGAAGGCTTAGCCTGAGCCTAACAACCCAACCTGGTAAAAAAGCCAACACAGTCGCTACTGTAACTCCAAAGCCTAAAGCCGTATTTTCTACAGTTTGGTTTGTAAGGGTTAGTTATGTTTTTACGAGTTGATCACGGATTGATATCAGTTAGAGAACCATTGAAAACCAAGGAGTACTGGACAGCTGCTGTTTCGTCCCAGTTTGGGAATCATTGGCAGTATGCACCCACTGGGATTCGAACCCAGGACCTTCCGGTTACAAGGCAAGCTCGTATACCATTCAGCCACTGGGACCCGATTCAATGGTCAACCCATGAATTTTAACTTCTACCAATTCGTGATTTAGCGCGACCCTAACCATTGTTGTTGGTGGGACATCCATCCACATACGTGACATCTAATTGGACCTCACTGGTCATGACTTCTCACTAGAACTCCAGGAAACTCAATCCTGTAGCAAGTCACGAATCTCAGTGGGTGCGTACTGCCGATGATTCCCAAACTAGGATGAAACAGCAGCTGTCCAGTACTCCCTGGTTTTCAATGGTTGTCTAACTGATATCAATCCGTGATCAACTCGTAAAAACCTAAAGCCATATATTCCCCTCAGAACATAAAGGAATGAAAAGAAAATAATAATAACAATAATATTAATAAGGTGAACTGACCTCTTTTTGTAATGGTTTAAATTTCCATGACATTTTTGAATATGTATCAGCAGCAAAATATACAACCAATTCATAGTCTTTTACTGGTTTCATACTTCTGATCTTTTCAGTTTTAGCCTTAGCAAAATTTGCATTCGTCCCGCTACCTGTTTTCTATTATAATTAGAGACAAAAACAAAACGAAACAGAAAAACATGACAGCTAGGCACAACTCATGATGATTATAGTGAAATGTTGAGTCTCACAGTTCAATTGACAGACTGCTGGTCTAGTATTCTGAAGGTCACTGGTCCGAATTCTACTGTGAACCAGATTCTTACTTCATCTTCAATTGGTACCCACGATTGGGATCGACAACCAGTCTGCCAAGGGTATCTCAGAGAGTCTTACCAACACAATCTACAACACTCAGCAAAAATGCCCTAGTAAAATGACAGTGGGTAGGCCGCTGTCTTCCCTTTGAAATACTTTTCTCATCTGACCACGCGTCCATAGCCTTCACTAGGTAAGTCCTATTCACCGCCTTCATGCAGCGAGGATACTCCTCACAGAAGTGAAACGACGAATGAGGACGTCTGGTACTGACAACCGGACTGTTGGACATGCTGGCCTACATAAGGGGAGGGGTTGGAAGACCCTGATTCCAAGTCTATGGTATACAAGAGCCCCCTGAATCCAAAAGGATTGAATGGAGTATGGATCTGTTTCAGTCACCGTCAACCATGGAAACACAGCACCTGACGCTGCTCCACTGCCTTTTGGATCACACTTCAAGTAGAAGGCTCCTAAAGAATGGCCCCTTAAGACAACCACCTACTTCAGTCTGTGCGTCCAGGCAGTATCCTGACTCTCGCACATGACTTGGTGCCCATAATATACTAAGTTTGTCTCAATAATAACATCAGTACTACTTTTATTAACGGTAATGCATATAACACGCTACGAGCCAAACCCCAACTGTAATGGCCGATAATACCACCCAGAAGCCAACACCTCCTTCCTCCAACCCAGGACAGAAATAAATGGAGTACAATTTGAACCAAAGATCTGTCAATTTTAAGTTGAGTTCTTAAGCCATAGTTATAATAATTATTTTCTCTAGACAATAATATAATAAAATAAACTTTCCAACTTACTGTACAATACAAACGATATAACGGCACAGTACCATATCCAAAACCAATCATGAATATACCAAACGATACAGTATAATTAAGGAATGTACGAAGTCTATAACTATCATCTGAAAAGATACTACGCGGTGAACAACTGATCCTTGATGTAAAGAATGTTCGTCTTGAAAAGTGAATTGAAGATTTTGAGAAACACAGTGATACCATTAAAAGCAATAATAGATATATTTATAAGACCTTTAACAAGTTCGTTTCAATTTGCTTAATAATATTTTTTCCACGATAAAATGTAACGCAAAAGTTTAGTGTTACTGTCAACCAGTTATGATCTGAAAATTAAGATAACACAAAAGAAAAGTCAGATTTTTAGATAAAACCACGGATTACATTGAATTATGTGTGGAATAACAGCTAAAAAATGTATAGGGTTCGATATTTATCACTTTATTCTATTATCTGTCTAGCCGATAACACTATTTTCTGCATTGACATGAAGTTCTTACCATCTAGTTTGAGTCATGTAGGGAGATGTAAACTACGCGGTTGGCGTCCTCAGAATACAAATAATCAACAGGTGGAGACTATCGTTTTCAATGGCGCAGATATATTCACTGTGTGTAATCTCCCAGATCTATTAAAACTCATCCTTTTTTAAATTCAATTTTAGATTTCCCGTCGATTGATTGATTGGACTGAAGTGCTCTGTCTCAGGTTGACACGTCTGTCGGCTTCTTGTGCAAATGCTTCGACAATGACTGGGCATGTAATTAGAAGTTAATTGGTGGATGATGACTAGTAATGGAATCCAGTGATGTTCCCACCAACGCTCGAACCCGGTGACCATTGTTTCAAACACCAAAGCGCTATCTACTAGACCACTTGGGCCTCTTGAGCCGCAGTGGGAACCACTGGATTCTACTGCTAGTCACCAGCCACCAATTAACTCATGCTTATTACTGTTACTATTCTTTCACACACACACACACACACAGATTCTGTCCATTATAGTTATTTTGAATCTCTGCCATTTTTGGGCAAAACACAGAGTGTAGCAACTTGAAGTGGTGCACTTTATGCAAAGTTCTCTGTTGAAACTTAGGCAATCAGTCAGTTTCGTAACGGTTAAGGACCCGAGATGTTTTACATCTGACTTACAAATCAACATAGAAAAAAATTCCATTTCCACACATATCAAAAAAATAACCTGGTGAAGAACAATGCAGGTATTCACAGTTTTCTGGATGATGAAAAGCGAATACATCTATGAAACTGTGAACGGTTTTCACCATATTGCTAAGTAATTCACTAAACGGCTCAGAATAACAGTCAGTGACATCATGGATTTATGCCAAGGTATAAACCACTTTTCTCTATCTTAGTCCTACTTCAGTCAACACTGCTTGTCGAGAATAGATAACAGCTAGAGCTACGACTAAAGATGTTTTATGGTCCATTAGACTCATTAATCACATAATCAAAGCATGTACATAATACTTCAACCTCACTAAATGTATTTAGCCATAAAGATTGTCATTTAATTTGTACTTTAGTACTAACTAACGGTACTTAGAAGTGATTCATTTAGCAAACGTTCGCATCGAACTGTTGCTTTCCGATAAAAGGTAAAAGGATCTATGTGTATGGATCAAATCTTACTCAACTGTTTAGACCCTGGAAACCACACAAATTGGAAACAAAAGACACCAAAATATATACCTCGATGATGAAAACAATATAACTATAAAGTTTCCTGCAAGTTCATTTGTTCCCCCGGTTTGATATCAAAATTAGCATAAAATAATAAAAGCTTTTAGGTTGTGTATGGCAGAGTTAAAGATTAGCGATGCAAGGGGGAACGGACACACCAATGACTTTGAAACGTGCCATTGCACTAAAAAGCAAATTTGGATGTGAACCTCAAACTAAAGCTTATCCTCTTCTTATCTAAACCTTGACCCATTCCTAACCTAACTGTAACCCTAAGTGAATCCAAAACTGATTCTAATATGCCTCTAACGTACTTTAATATCTCTCTAATTGGATTCAACTAAACCGAACCTGTCTCTACCATAACCCTAACCTAAATCTTGCTTAGTATCCTGCCTAATATTCTTAAACTTCATTCGAAACTTTTACTCATGATTATGCTATTATTTACTCACTTCTAATTCACTACGGTTACAATTGCGACGAAATTTGACTGAGTAGCTTATGTGTTAAAACAACAACCAAGCGCTTGAAATATGAGCAAAATATTGTTTCTTTAAGTTATAGTCTCATCTAACCAGTATCGGGTTTCTAATTCTGAGGCTGCTGGTTCAATACTTATACGTTTTCATTGTATATGTTGGGCCAGTTATCTCTCGAAGAGACCAACAATATGTCAAAGAACATCAAGTGCAATTTCAACGCTCATATTTTGGACTAGACTCCACAGCCATGAGCAATGTCATTCCATGTAACTAGGAGCATTTGAACTATTTAGCACATTTTACAATACTATGATTAATTTTATCCGTGATGAATCAACACTCAAAAAATATATATTAAATGTAAACCATTACTGGTTTCCAATGATAAAACATTCCCAGCTAATTTCTAAAAACTTTAGGAGTCAAAACAAAAAGCTCATGTAACAACTCTATTGGCGTAGCGACATATTCCTACAGTGCGCCTTAGGGTCATTGTAGTGTTCAATTTCTGCTTGTGGGAAATTGCAGAGACCACATAACTTCTCGGCGTCCCCACTTTCGTATTTCGAAATAGCTCCAAATTTTTTGACTTCCAGCGGAGCTCTGATGAGCACAATAAAAATATGGGTGACAATGTTTTGTGGAAAATGTATGCTTGGTACCCAAATCATGTAACAACTTTGACTTTAAAATGTCGTTTCACCAACCTGTCGGTCAGGGAAACGGAGACACCTTAATTCTTTGAGATCTCATATTCTAAAAATCCACTTTCCTCAGTCCATAGTCATACGCTGAACGGAACTTAGGAATTCAATAGGTAGGACAGGAGATTAATTTATCTTTACAGATCATCCGGAAAGACTACTGGATGTAAGTAAAGAGCAGTTGTCGTTGCAAAACCTATCAGCTGAGGTATGAAGTTACATTCTGTCAAACGACAACTGTATACGCACATTATGGACAAAACTAAATCAATCCCTGCTTCCAAACTCCAGAAACTCTGGTCATAACGACTTGCAAGTTGAACAACCGTTCAAAAATTAAAAATCCACTCCACTCATATGCACTACTTTTAAACTAAATATGGGCGTGGAAAAGAGATACGTTGCGCGCAGGGAGAAACATAGTGGGAGAATCAAGTTTCTGAGACTAGATTTCTTAGAGTGAAGAGGATCTACCTAGTTCACGATAGCAATTGCAAATGGAAAAAGGTAGTCTTTATGAGCGACGAAGGACTTCACTCTGAAGTACCTTAAACAACTGAATGAATGCAGCATCCATCTGAGTTTAGGCGATTTTGATTGATCTCATTTAAAGTTAGATTCCGGAGGTAAGTCTGGTGGTCAAGATGAGCATCACGCTCAAACAAATTACAATTAGTCTTCAAAGTTATAGCTGCTATTCAGTATGTAATTAAGCGTTTCAAAGTCCTCAGGAGATTAAAGGGATATCCCAACTGAACTGGTCTTGTCATGCTGACTTGTGAGTTGGCCCATGAATCGCCATCCAGACAGTTCAACAGGTCTAGTAGTTCAAGTTACGAGAAAGAGCCTTCCGTGAACACTTCATTCAACATACAGTTAGAAACAAACATTTTGACAAGGAACAGTATAGCTTCAGAGTAATTTATGTGTGTTCATAGCACCAGAGATAATGAATATTGTCCGCCAACTAACGATCTTTTAGAATTTAGAGGCTGAGTGTTGACGTTTACGGACAGTACGACGTATACTGACGCATGATCCAATACATACAACTCCCCCATTATTCGTTCCGCGTAGACCAGAGACAAAGAAATACACCAAATTGATCATCCAAAATGCGAAGTATATTTCGGGACCTAATTCGTAGTACGAAGTTGATTGCTTTAATAACCGAAAGTAACACGACAGCATGCCAAATGGTGTGGATGCTTGACTGTGAGCCTTCAGCAAGAAAAGTCGACTTAAACAGTGAGGGTCAGCGCCCAGTGTTCAGTGATGAAGGCTGTGGCTAATAATTTTGTGGAATTATCTACCGCTGCAAGAGTTACCCTTGGAACCCTTTGGCATCGCCTTGAGGCTTCAATAACGGGAGTGCGCAGATGGACTGGTACACTTACACTAGTTCTCTTGAGAAGTAGATAAATTACAGCCATCAGTTAGGTAAATAAACAAAATAATAATCGATTATGCTTAGTCTATCAAAATGATGGATCTTTAACTTTAAGGTGCTCTCACCATAGATGGTCAGTTCACAGAGAAGAAATAAATAGCATGAATCGGCGCACAAGTGATTAAACAACATGCAGAACGCCAGTATAAGGACATCCCCTCACTGCCTACATGATAGCTGGAATAAATCTAATCAGCCGACTTCTTACATGAAAGCCATGATATCTGCTTGACCATTTCAGTCCTCTTTTACCCGAGCTCTTCTTACGTATCTATTTCACATGTGAAATATGAGCTCGCTACCTAGATTCAATATGCCCAATGAGACCTGATATAGGGGAGGAACGATATTAGAAATTTATCAACATCAGGGCATATAAAGGTCTTGTGGAAAGATCGAAATATTCCAAACTCCTTCCCATCTACCGCTGTATAGCTTACTGTAGTCATGCCTTACAATTACTCCAAAACCCTTTTCCTCAGTAGCCATTGGTGCGGTAGAGCTATTTTCGGGCAATTGCGCATACTTTTAGGAGTAGCTCACTGTTACTTATGTGGGTTTACAAGGACCCTAGAAAAGGATCTGAGCTTGATCCAATACTCTTTTCAATCTTGTGTCCAGAAAACTTCACTTCCGCTTTCTCGAGATTGAGGTAAAGTCTGTCTAATTCTCAGAAAATAAATAGGCATATATGACAAAAGAGATATTTCTATGCAAATGAAGGTTTATGGGCCAATTTAAACTATCATATCCAAAACTGCGGTGACCTTGAACAACTAATTAGAATTCGGATGCGAAAAAGTCAAATAATTGTCTCTCGCACGTTGTAACAATGTCACCGAGTCAATTCACAAGTGATCTGTACAGAAATCATACCACGTGGGATAGATTCATTTATCCAATTGACTGTAGCTTATGCTACTTTGAGATCTATTGATATTTCTAACACTGTTCTTCAACCTACTCTTAACTCTAACTATAGTC